GGTTAGCCTCTGAATTCTTCTGTTTTTGGCTATTGTATACTCCTTTATGCTACTATAAATTCATATATATAGAATTATTCAAGTGCAAATACAAACAGTGTATGGCTGTTATAGTGCTATGGATATCCAAGTGCCAGGGTGTTTGTAGACACATTTCACTTCAGAGTAGAACCCTAAAAACATAACTCAGGTCATATGTTAAAGGTATATTTAACTTTAGCAAAAGCTCTCCACTGCTTTCAATTTGCCGGCACTGTTTTCCTTTTCCGCTGGCAACGCAGAAGAGTCTACATCGCCCACTCGGTCCTTGTTTGTCTGTTCAAATGAAGATATTCTATTGAGTGTGAACCGATATGACAAAGTAGATCTAACTTGCAATTTTCTAATAACAAACGACATTTACGTCTTTTTATTAATCACGTCTTCTGTGGAATTACTTTCAAATATGTGTGTCCTTTTTATTGGATTACTGATTTTCTCGTTATAAATTTATTAAGGGATTCTTTTTAGTTCTGGATAAAATGCCATTATCAATGATACATGATTCCCAAAGATGTCTTCTAACATATGGCTTTCTCTTTTATGGTGTCTCTTGATTAAGGAGGATTATAATAGTGAGGAAGCACAGCTTACCAATATTTACTTTTATAATTTTTGAATTTTTGTTCTAATAAATTCTTGTGTATCCAAAAGTACAAAAGCTTCCTCTCCTTTCTTTTTATTTAATTTTTTTATTTTTATTTTTATTTTTTTTTTGAGATGGAGTCTCACTCTGTCTCCCATTCTGCTAGAGTGCAGTGGCATGATCTGGGCTCACTGCAACCTCTGTCCCCTCGGTTCAAGCAATTCTCCTGCCTCAACCTTCCAAGTAACTGGGATTTCAGGCACTCACCACCATGTCCAGCTAATTTTTGTGTTGTTAGTAAAGATGGGGTTTCGCCATGTTGGCCAGGCTGGTATCAGACTCCTGACCTTAGGTGATGCTCCTGTCTTGGCTTCCCAAAGTGCTGGGATTGAAGATGTCAGCCACCGTGCTCTGCCTTCCTAACATTTCTTCTGAAAGTTCTGCAGTGTTTTATATAATCTATAGATTTCTTATCTAGATTTACAATTTGAGGATAGTTGAAGATTAAGGTACTTTTTATGTAAATATTCTTTAATTTCAGTGCTATTTCTGGGGAAAACATATCCTTTAGCAATGGTATTGTTTTGTTAAAAAATATTTACCATTAAGTGTGGGTTTATCTCTAGACTCTCATTTCTGTTCTATTGCTATACCCATGTCTAGCTTTATGCTATTAAAATAATACCTTGGTTTCTATACATTTATAACTCTTAACTTAGATAAAGCTAATCTTCCTATTATGCTATTTCTAAAAATTGTCTTGGTTATTTCAGATTTTTCAAGTTCATATACATTTTACAACTATCTTTTCAAGGTCTACCCCCCAGAAAAGCCTATTAAGATTCTTATTGGAATTACCCTGGATCTGCAAATGAATTTAAATGAAATTGCCATGATAACAGTTTTTTCTTTCTATCCTTGAACATAACACATCTATATCTTTCAGCTTTCTTCATTTTGTCAACAGTGTTTTACAGCTCTCAGTGACCAAGTTTAAAAAAATATTGTTAGGTTTATCTCAAATTGTTTTTAATTTTTTTGACATTATTTTTGATTAATTTTTTAAAATTACTTATTTGGATTATTCATTGTTAATAGAAAGGAATAGTTTTGATTTTTTATACTGTTATTGTATTCTTAAAACTTTGCTAAATTCACTTATGTTTATTAGTAGCTACTTTTCAAGACTATGAAAGAGTTATCAGTGGTCAAATATGGAATAATTTGAGCAGCAAAATACGTAATTTAGTATTGGATTATAACTCAAATTGTACAATAAATATTCATAAATGCATAGTAATATAGCAAATGATTGAATAAATTTTAAAAATGAAGGAAAGTTGACAGGCTGCCAGATAAAATCCACAGATGGCAAAATGAAAGGAGCCAGTGTGCAAGCTATTGTGACTTTTAGTTTTACATGTCAACTCGCCTCTGGCAAGAGGTGCCCAGATATTTGGACAACATTATTCTGGGAGTGCTTGGGAAGTGTGAGATTCACATTTGATTCGGTGAAGTAAAGCAGTTTGCCCTCCCCAGTGTAGGTGGACCTCATCCAAATTTAAGGCCAAAACAGAACAAAAAGGTGAAGAGAAATTTATCTTTCTCCGCCTGACTGTCTTTGAGTGTGGACCTCATTCTCCTGCTACTTTTGGACTCTGACTCAAATGTGAACTAGAACTTACACTACTGAAAACTTACTCCTGAGTTTTCAGCTTGCCAGCTGCAGATCTTGGTACTCTAGCACATGCAATTTCATGAGCCAATTCTTGGTCATCTCTCTCTCTCTCTCTCTTTCTCATGCACATGTGTGTGTGTGTGTGTTTGTATGTGTGCATGTGTGTACATATATACATTGTTTTTGTTTGTCTGCAGAACCCAGGCTAAGTACAGCCATCAGTGAACAAACAGCCCTGGTGTGTTATCAGGTGAGCTTTGGAGTTTAAGCAGAATGTTTAAAATTATTACTCAGTTAGATAGCTAGCGAGCTTCCCTTTTTGGTGGTCAATAGTCAGAACCAGACTTCCAGGGGTTTCCATAGATAATAGAGCTTTCCCAAAACAGGTAGATTTGCCTTGCACATGCTGTATAAGTCTATGTATGAAATTTCAAAAGTATGCTCAATTATACAGTATACTGTCTATGTATTCCACATGATGGATACACATGTGTGGTAAAAGTATATGGAAAAACAATCAAATGCTAAACACAGTACTCAGAATACTGATGAGTTTTTCAAAGAAAGAAAGTGATTGGGATTGGGCAAGACCATGGGAGTTTGCCAAGATGGGTTACAATTGTGTTATCTTGAGTAACTCAACTAAATTATCCGCCACTTTTATCTTGTGTAAAATAAACATTTAGCTATTTTACTGGCTTTGTAAGAGTTTAAATAATAGAAATTTATTAGCTAACAGTTTCTCTGTAACCTGCAATATAAGTTAATTCAATTCTTTGTACACTGATTCTACTGAGTCATTTTTCCTAAATATATTTAAATGCTCTTCTGTGTATTTTTCTTAGCTCTGAATAACTTAAAAGGTTCTAAACAATAATCACTTCATATTATGTCACCCAGTATGTCGGTGGAAATAATTAAATCCCAAGAAGGAAGCCATCTTCAGTGTGGAATTTCTATGGATTGATAACTTCTGAGTCTGTCTTACTAAATCACATACTTCACATTTATAAAATACGGCAGGTATATTTTACAGAACTTTATGGACAAAGAGTTTATAACTAAGCCAATTAGATAAAAAATACATATATAGAGAAAGAAACAGTTCAAAAACAATAAAATACCAGTAAGGAACTAGAATAAGTCTAAATAATAAGCACTTAATATGTCAGACAAATAGAAAAATAAAATTATGAAAAATAATTTAGTAAACAGCATACTTTATCCACAAACGCAATGTGTGAGGGGTTGTCACATATTTAGGAAAAAAAGGTTTTTATCACTTGGAAAAATGCTTTTGCCACTCAACTCTAACATATGCTGAGGGAGGAAAAATGATGTAGATGACTTTTTTAGTTTCACTTATATTTGAGAACCTGATTACAAGTAAATTTTACAGAAGGATAATTGCTAAAAACAACTGTGGAAAACTACCATGGGTTGTCATGTTTGGAGTTGACTGTCGTATCACTTAACAATATCACAAGCTGCTTTTTCTACACACTTTGCTGGATGAAGGAAAGCTATCACACCCCTTCCTCTGTAACTTCACCCGTTTGTATATGATTTTAACTTATAATGACATAAAATGTTTATATTTAAATATAAACTTACATATTTTGTCTTAATCATCAGTGCAATGATGATGACAACTTTGGAGCCAGATACAGGGTGTTTATTTTTAAATTTGTATTTAAATGGATATTTTAAGGTATACTTGATTTATCTTGAACTAAAAGTATTGAACTAAACAATTAATAAAGATAGTCACAAAACATATGGACAGCTACATAAAACATTTCGCTTTGCCCACATTAATAAGAATTTGATAACAAAAAGTCATTGGTTCTCACAAAGTGCCCTTTACACAAAGCAACAGCCTAGAAAGATTTTTGTTTAGTTAAATCAGGTTGTAAGTTGATATGGTCTAAAATTATCTCACTATAATTTACCATCTGGACAAAAATTCAAACTTCATTGGTAAGATCAGAAAGCAATTGGTAGTTTTTAGACGCCACTTGTTAATGGAGAGGGGCATGCAGACAATATCCCTACACTATAGCTATTCGTTAGAGATGGATGCACAAGAAAGGAATAGTGTCTTTTGAAGAGATGTATTCTATAAATTCTGGCAAAGAGCTTATTTTAAGATGGTAAAATGGCATACGAATTTAGACTAATTTAATTACTTGAAACTATGAATAATTGGAGTAAACTTGATGCATTAATGTTGATTAAATTTTTCTGTAATATTTCTAATGAGCACGTTTAAACTATTGACATGCACAATGGCAAGCACTTCATATGGCTGCATTTAGTCGTCATGACAAGCATAAGAGGTAAATGTTATAAAGCACAATTTACAAGTAAAGAACTGTTGGGAACCAGCCCAACCCTGCGCATGGGTGCCCCGTGTCCCGGCAGTGACGAGGCAGTGAGAAAAGAGAGACAAAGACACAGGAACAGAATTTTAAAGTATGGGTCCGGGGTCCAATGCACTCACAGGGTGATTCCCATTGGCATTCAGCTCCGGGCTCCAAGCGCTATTATTAGGTAAATTATCTTGTTAATCTTGCAGGCTGTGGGGAGGGGGTTGAGGAGGAAGATAGCGGGAGGAAAAGCACGTGTCTGCAGCACTCAACGGCATACCGGGTTCTCCTAAGAAATGCTAACTAAGGACACTGAGACTTTACCAACCATTGTCCATCCAGGTGCTTTGGCCAGAGAGGTGCAGCTTAGGCTCCGTAAGGTCTGACCACACACAGTGCATCAAAGGGCTTTTATCTCCCGAGCACTGTGGACACAGAGCAGTCACAATTGCTCCATATTCTGAGAACACAGGCAGGGGCTGTGGCGTTCCAGTGCCTCTGCCCTGCGAGGCTTTCCGGCCTTACCAGCACCCATCTGCGAAGACCCTCCCGAGGCTTAAGAGCAGAGGTTGCATTTCCTTCCCAGAGTTTTTTGCATAAGCTCCCTTTAGGAGATCCTTACACAAACTCGATGTTGGGAAGAGTCTGGGGACAAAAGCAGCTTTCCTTTTCCGCTCTGCAGCGACACCGCAGTGCTCCGTCATGGTCTTTACCGTAGGCCTCCTGTCACCACTTGATCTCTGCTTTTGTTTTAGTTCGGATATGATCCGCGGCACAAACCTCAGTGTATAAAAAGCAAAGCAAGCTTGGAATCATTTAACTATGAGTAACACAAGTCTGCCCCTGGCCACCTCTTCCCGTATCTCCTCCCTTCTTCTTCTTCTCCTTCTCCTTCTTCTTCTTCTTCTTCTTCCTTTTTTTTTTTTTTTTTTTTGAGACGGAGTTTTGCTCTTGTTACCCAGGCTGGAGTGCAATGGCACGACCTCAGCTCACCACAACCTCCGCCTCCTGGGTTCAGGCAATTCTCCTGCCTCAGCCTCCTGAGTAGCTGGGATTACAGGCACGCGCCACCATGCCCAGCTAATTTTCTGTTTTTAGTAGAGACAGGGTTTCACCATGTTGACCAGGATGGTCTCGATCTCTTGACCTTGTGATCCACCCGCCTTGGCCTCCCAAAGTGCTGGGATTACAGGCAGAAGTTTTTTTTTTTTTTAAACAAGTGCAGTGCTTTCTTCTGTTTGGCAAGTCGCCCAAATGAAGTGTGAGAAAGTATCCACAGTAACATGAACATAAGATAATTTTCCAAATAAAGGAGTATGAGTAATATCCATTTGCCAAATTGAATTTGGGTGGAGTCCTCTAGGATTTGCCCTTGCCTCCTGAGTGGGCAGTTGAAGACCTTGGCACTGAGGGCAATGTTGGACAATTTGTTTTACCTGTCTCCAGGTTAAAGGAAGTTTAGTTTTTAAACCTGCCGCATTTGTATGTGTTGATGCATGAAATTTTTTGGCTTTTATAAAACCTGGAGAAACCACTAAATCTGCCTCTTCCTTTGCTTGAGCTAAAGGTCCAGGTAAACCAGTATACGCTCGAATGTGTGTGACATAAAAGGGAGCTTCTCTGCTTCTAACTGCTTTTTGAAGTGATTCGAATAGCTCTGTTAATTGATCATCCTGAATGTATTTTAATAGTGCAGTTCCTACATTTTTGGTAGAATGTACCACATAAGCTGAGTCTGAAACCATATTAACTGGTTGCTGTGTATCTGTAAGGACCGAGATAACTGCTTGTAACCCTGGTCTTTGTGCTGATTGAAAATTTGTTTGGATGACTCTATGAAAAGGACCTGCGTAAGCTGCCTTTCCATTCTTAAATGCATCAGTAAAAACAGTAGCAGTGTCCTCTATTGGCTCACCTTCAGTAATTTTAGGTGAAACCCATGACATAAGCTTCAGGACCTGAAACACTTTTGTTTTAGGATACTGATTAGCAATTTCACCTATGAAATCTGCCAAGCTTAATTGCCAATCAACCAAATTGATGTAGTAAGCTTGTTGCACTTGCTTTCACTTAAAGGAACAATTATTTTGTCAGGTTCATATCCAGACAATGGAACAATCCTTGTTCTGCCTTGACTAGGGACACTAGCTGTTTGATCCAAGCACACAGTTAGTTTTTCTTGTATTGTGAGGTACGAAGACCCGTTCTACTAGACTTTCATCTTCAACAATGACTCCTGTTGGTGAATAAGGTGTTCAGAATACAATGAGCTGTAACCGTGAGTCACTGTTAATTCTTTCCACCTGGGCTTGCTGTATTTTTCTTTTTATTGCATTTTAGGTTTTGGGGTACATGTGAAGAATAGGCAAGATAGTTGCATAGGTACACACGTGGCAGTGTGATTTGCTGCCTTCCTCCCCTTCACTTATATCTGGCATTTCTCTCCATGCTATCTCTCCCCAACTCCCCACCCCCTGCTGTCCCTCCCCTATTCCCCCTAACCAACCCCTGTGGGTAGTGCTTCCCTCCCTGTGTCCATGTGTTCTCATTTTTCAACACCCACCTATGAGCGAGAACATGCGGTGTTTGATTTTCTGTTCTTGTGTCAGTTTGCTGCAAATGATGTTCTCCAGGTTCATCCATGTCCCTACAAAGGACGCTAACTCATTGTTTTTGATTACTGCATAATATTCCATGGCGTATATGTGCCACATTTTCCCTGTTCAGTCTATGTATTTTTTCTTTAATTATTTTCAACTCCTCTGCTGCTTCTTTTGTTAACACTCTTTTACTAGTTAAATTTGGATCTTCTCTTAAATCACAAATAAATTAGATATTACATAAGTGGGAATACCTAGAGCTGGCCTTATCCAATTAATGTCTCCTAACAACTTTTGGAAATCATTTAATGTTTTAAGTTTGTCCTTTCTAATTTTTACCTTTTGAGGGCATATTTTCCTCTCTTCAACTTGCATTCTCAAATATTTTACTGGTGCTGAGGTGTGAATTTTATCAGGACCTATAATCAGCCCTGCTTTTTGCACACATTCTTTTAGGCAATTATGACATAAAGCCAACTCTTCCCTAGTTTCTGCAGCACATGACATAGCTTCAATATAGTGAATGACAAACACTGAGGAAAGTGCCCTCTACCAGGCTGCACAGCTTTTCTCACAAAAGTCTGACGCTTTGTAGGATGGGTTAACATTCCTTGAGGCAAAACCTTCCATTGATATCTGGTCTGGCTTTTGGTATTTTACTGCAGGTACTGTGAAAACATATTTTTCGCAATCCTGCTTTGCCAAAGAAATTGTAAAGAAACAGTCTTTTAAATCTATGATTATCAAAGGCCATTCTTCTGGGGCCATTGCTGGTGAAGGCACAGGGCTGTAACGCTCCCATGGGTTCAGTCACTGCATTTACTGCACTCAGGTCAGTCAGCATTCTCCATCCCCCAGATTTTTTTTTTTTTTTTTTTGAATTACAAATACCAGGGAATTCCAGGGAGAGAATGAAGTTTCTATATGCTCTCTTTCCAGCTGCCCTTGTGTTAATTTGTGTAAAGTCTCCAAATTTACTGCTTTGGAAGTGGCCACTGTCCAACCCATATCAGTGTTTGTGTTTTCCAGGTTAATGCAATTGGTTCTGGAGGCTTATCAGTGGCCACTACTAAAAATTGTAGCTAATCCCTGCTCTGTCTAATTTTACAGTAGCTTACATAGGTTGAGTGATTCCATTTTCATTTTTTCCTAATCCTCTTCCAGGCTCATATTCCATTTGAGACACAATCTTTTTACCTTGCTCACTGTAAGCATTTGGTTGAAGAGAGATTTCAGCCCCCCACTGTTGTAACATGTCTCTCCCTCACAAATTAATGGGAACATTGGTAACCATGCGTTGAATAGTGCCTTGCTGACCAAAAAAAAAAAAAAGAAGAAAAGGAAAAGTTAGTAACGGTAAGGGAATTAATTAACCACATTCTTGCGAACAGTAAGTTCATACACAATATGCAAACCTAAACCTGCTGAATTGCAAGAGCCTTGCTGACACATTTCATCCAGCGGACCCACTGGAGCAGGAGTGAAAGCACAGGTGAGAGTACACCGCAGATTTCTTCAGGTTTCTTCAGGGTGCGCAGAATCCAACCCAATTATTGTGTGGTTGAACTCATCCGATTGAGAGCCAGAGGGTCAAGCCTTATTTTGCACTTTTAAAAATAAAATTGTCATCGCCTGTTTAAAATGTTCATTCCAAATTCCTACACAAACAACAGATATCAAAGCCCTTACCTAAAGCTCTATCACCAGCTTCCTCACTTTCCCGGGATCCCAGTGCACAAATTAATCCTAGGAATAAAATGGAACAAGCTTCCCATAACTTTCTCCATGTAAAATACTGTAGGATTCATAATCTTAGGCTACATGATAGATTTTTTTAAAAGAATTTCTCTAACAGCACAGCATGGTAACTAAATTAGTTTTATCTCATTTTGAGGACAAATTGAAAACCAAATTCCTGCAAAAGCTCTTAATTATTAAAAATTATTGGCAATTGTACTAAAGAGCATTTTTGTGGACATAGTATTTGTGTATACAAGTCACTCATGAGTTTTGATTCCACCATAATAATCAGTCTATGGCAATATTGATTCTTTTTTTACATAAAAGAAAATTGTACACAATTTTTTGTAAAAGTCAAGGAATCATAGGGTCCTTAATTTTACATTAAAGATAATTAACTTAAAGCCACTCACAGATTAAAATTGTCTGAGCTAAAAAAAGGTACATTTAAATAATGAACTATTCTTTTCTTTTCATAGCTATTATACCAAAACTGTGACAATATATAAGAAATATTGTACATATTAAATATGAAATGTACTGAATATATTAAATTATTGCTTAATATACAATAATACCTTGATGTGATATATAAATCAATACATGATTTTGCATGGCTATTCCTGTGATTGAATCACTAATATCAGTTTAAAAAACACATTGCTGAAAAAATCCTCTGGGCAACCCAAGTAATATCTTGGCTTATTTCACAGTAATCTCAGTGCTCCTTTTTATCTAACATGGTTGATTTAAAAGTTACAACCTCAAAAAAGCCAATGGAATGTTCACTGGAATTTTCAGCTTCACAGCACTAGTCAATTAGTTCTGTGTTGATCACTCTTTGAAAGCAAGTTGAAATATGCCCTGGCAAATTATTGAACAAATGTTCCAAATGACTAAAGCATTCATCCTTTCCACATTAGACTACGCAATCCTTTTGTACTGAGGTTCACATCAATCACTCAGCCTCCAGAAAATCACATAAGCTCTCCTTGAAATGCCCTAAAATATAATTTTTATAAACGAAAGATCATAGAAACTCAAGAGGAAAGGTATTTTACATTAGAATT